GTATGTAAAGGTACCTCCTCTAGTAAGATTGGTAGTTGCAGAAGGAAATAAACAGTTATTCACTTATGATTTACCATAAATATATCTAGTGTTTACTTTATATCACAACAATTCTTAAGGCAAAAGAATGTTCTCCTGAGTTTGATCTCATATCCATTTGGCGACCACGGAGAGAGGGAAAACGTAGGGGGATTATACGTGTGTTCATAAATGGTTACGTACATTTGTGTTCTATTTGTTCATGTTTGTTTGTAATCAGTTTGTGTATGTTTATTTACAAATACACACCTTGTTTCGAAAAACGAGGTCTTGAAGGAAGGGGAAGACAGAAGCAAAAATTCCTACTGAACCTAGACAGACTTGAAGGCTGTGGAGTAGAGAGACATGGTCGCCAACATCACACTCGGATACGGCACTGTAAGAAAAATGCACACACACACACGGGTACATTTACATATATATACACACATACATATATATCCATATATATGTGCATATGTATACCTACATATATAAATGTATAAATATACATATATATATATATATATATATATATATATATATATATATATATATATACATACATATATATATATATATATATACACGCACACACGCACACACACACGCACACACACACACACACACACACAAACAAACACAAGTGAGTAACCTTATAAAAGTGAAAGGAAAAGATTAATTCTTTCATACATGATAAAGAAAAAGAAAGAAAGAAAGGAAGAAAGAAAGAAAGAAAGAAAAAAGAAAGAAAGAAAGAAAGAAAGAAAGAAAAGAAAAGAAGAAAAAAAAAATATATGCACACTCACACACACACACACACACACACACATTCACCCTCAAAGTAATAAATAAATAAATAAATAAATAAATATATATATATATATATATATATATATATATATATATATATATATATATATATATATATATATATATACATATATACACATGACTTCATAAAAGTGAAAGGAGAAGGTTAATACCTTTATACATGATTAAGAAAACAAAATTGTTGGACTTCTTTATATGCATTATCGAACATTTTGCAACTAAATGTATATATCATTATTTCAAGTATGTAAGAATTACAAGTATTTAATTAAGGTCACATTGGCAGTCATTCTCATTTTTTGTAAAATTCACAAGCTTCCTGTAGAACAATGAGTTCAGTTTTAATCTGACACACTGTAAAGCATACACACCCGAGGTCATGTCCTGCCGCGTATGGCACTCTGTCACCGGACGTGTGCTGATGGGGATAAAGAAGAGATCATGTAAAGAAGCATAAGACAGAACTGACATTTGAGAACTTAGATGACATAAACAGAGTCAGCAAGGTCCGGGTTATAAGCCTGAAGATAGTGACACCAAAGATCTGGGACCTGAAAAAATAGGAATCATAGGTTAGATGCTAGAATTAGAGCACATACACATATATACAGAACAGTAATACTCTTATATCCACGCCCACGCCATGCAACTATATCTAGAGATACGAAATGAAGCTAAAATAAAACTCTTGACCGTAATCATTATTCACACCGGTTTCATGTTTATCATTTTCTTTTAAGTATTTGTCACCCGCTAAGAAGCTTGGACAGAAAAAAAAGTTTCACGTACCGTTGTCTACAGTAACAGCTTGATTACGCATCTTCTTTCGCTGACACTGGGAAGTAACCACATATTTTTTTTTCGCTGATGTTAGTGTGTCTTGAATTTTTGAAAAATTGTCTATTATTTGGTATCTCCAGCGCGAGCGCTCTGCATCTTACCACTGAGGAGGAACTTACCTTAGTGCAGCTCTAGACTGCGGGTTGTTTAGGTACTGATCGCAGTTGCCAAGAACTTCGGGGACACGATTATATATAGTATGCCTTGCGTTAGGAAATATTTTTAATATGAAGGGAAAGAAATGATATTTGTAATCAGGAATCTTTGAAGTTCGAGGTCACTCTTCATTCACGTATCCATATACAACTCCACATACACACACACACACACACACACACACACACACACACACACACACACACACACACACACACAAACACACACACACACACACACATATATATGCCTACAATTACACATATGTATATATGCATGTATAGATAGATAAATGTAAATATAGTTAAAGATATGTATATATATATGAATGAATGAATATAGATATAGATAGATAGGTATTTAAAATTTCAAAAGGGAAAACGAAGACATACAGATGAAGAGATGTACAGATGAACAAGCATCAGCAGGAACAGATATAAGGATGTGTTTGGGGTTAACTGAGGCAATTAGGTTTGTCCAGCACACATAACAACGAAGAATTAGAAATAACTATAAGTGAAACTTGCAGTGCAAATTACAAACGAGCAATACGAAACATTAAGTGTTTGATACATGCATGGTGCTCCTATCATTTCCTGTTTCAATATGTAACTACCCAGAAGCTGTGCCAGAAAAAAAGGAATGAAACTGAGAACTCAAAATAGCGGTAACTTCTGTGCTCATGGGGAAAAAAGGTCAGTGGAGGTTGGCCTTTAGTATTCACAAATTTTGGCCTTACCGCTCACGCAAGTAAACTTCATAAAATGTGGTGAACAGGAGAATGTTGAATTTATTGAGTATACTTTCCTCCATTATTATTTTGACCATATTAATCATGAGGTGGATTTATAATCTTTATCTACTGTGACAGACTTCCGA